GGAATGGACTTTGAGCGGTCAAAGATTGTCCCGAGACGATACACAAGAGGTGCTCTCCTTCGGTAGTGGTGGTGGTTGAGATAAATGTTAATATCATCCTACCGGAGACATAGCTCAGTCAGTTTGAGAATAGCGCGGGACCCAAAAAGAAGCAGCTGATAGACGAAAAGGAAAATGTCTTTTGCTATGATAACGGAACCGCCCGGGCCCGAAGCCATGGACCTGGCCGAGAAAGAACTGAGGGAAACTGAGGAGAACGTGCAAAAGGGTCTCGAGACCCTGAAAAAGCTTCTCGAAGGTAGGTGAACTTGTTATTTTTTTTACAATTTAAATGTAAAATGCGTAACAATTATTCGGGCGTTTCTATTGGGCAGTTTTCGTGTTTTATTGTTAGTTCCTTGCACTTTTACTGCAAAAATATTATAAAATACGCTTTCCTTGTTGCATTCTGCATTATTTCTGAGGCGAAACATGCATTTTCGTATTCAGTTATAAATTTGCCTGTGCTTCTTGGAGAGCGAATTTTCCTAACGAGGTATTCGAGCTTTTATTTACACTTTTTTAATTATTTTAATTTTTATCATTCTCTTAAGGTTTTACGCGGTAGTGGGGTTCAAATAATTATAATGCGGTTATTATTATTCAGATAATTAAAGTGTTCTTATAATCAATCTAATTATAGAAGATCTCGATGAATTTTTTAACACATGTCAGGAAATCTCTACACAATATTATCGCCAAAATAGTTTTTAAGCTCTTTCTATCTTTCTCAGCCTGTCGCCATATACTCTCAAGTTATAATTATTTATTGAAAAGGAAAGTTCTTTACAAACTAACCGAGAACAAAAGTTTATTACTACGTGGCTAATTTCTTTTGCATGAGTGAACTTTTCTTCGGATTTTATTTAGAAATTTATTGGTACTTGGAAATTTTTTTTTTACGATAAAAACTGTGCAAAAATATGCAGAAGACAACTGCAAATTTCAAACAAACATTTTCAAACTACGTTCATCATGTGTCCGCCAATAAATTACGAAATTTGTGACTTTTATCGCCAAACAAAAAAGATTAGTTTTTTAGGTAAGAAATTAATTTGAGCACCAAATAATGTTTTTTAAAAGAATTGTAATGGATCAACTCGTGCTGGCAGGATGTCGAAACATACAACTTTGTCTAAATTTATATAATAGGAATGATTATTACGTATTCTGAAAGTTATTAATAGACTCGTTTTGCATAAGAAAAAAACAGTTGTATGTTATCCCGAAAATTACAGAATTTAATTACAAAATTTAATTATAAAATTACAAACATACGAATTTGGTGCAAACTCGCGCTTCTGAAGTAGAAAATCACCTGCAAAGATTAGTATTATCTGTTCTTATTTTATGCCTATTATCTTTTATCATGTAAATCGCGTCTGTCCAAGTTTCAACGAAGTAAGTGATAAATAGATTGCTCTTAAATTAAAGAACATGTTTTTGCGACAGCGAATATCTGTCTTTAGCTGGTCAAGAAAGAACCACTTGGATTCTGTCGTATGTAAACGAAACGAGACATTTAGAAATAAAAGCTTTCTCTACTGATGCCTCTTTGAACGAAAACGATTGAGACCGTTCGAACGGCATAGAGCCGATGAATAGATGTATTGAAAGATAATGTTGAGGTCAGCGTTGTGACACTGTGATAATCTCGCTTCCTTTTATCTTTCTTCGCTTCAAACGCGCGCACAGCAACGAAGCTCCAGTCATTTTCTCTGAATTAAAATCAAACTTCTTAAACCTTAAACTGTGATGTCGATTCTTAAAATTGCTGGTGCACTTTGCATCGTTACAAAGCAGATATGCGCACTTGGATTGTCGCAAAACATTTCAAAGTCTAATGGTCTTCTAACTATCTGGGAGAATTATTAATTGCAAGTAAATTAAGCATGCAAAAGCAATGTCGTTTGCCATAACACGTTTTTTTTTCGATAGATTTATCTTTTGTATATTCAGAAGGAAAGATATGTGATATAATATATAATAAAAAAATGTACTCGCTCTTTATGTCTTTACAATCCAATGTAAAACGGTTTTGAATAAGCATCACTAAGCAGGTAATGGCAGGAATGCACAGGAGATACGGTTGAGTCAAGGACTCAGATCATACTCTAGTTTCTCATAAATTTATAAAATATATGTATTAGCATACAATAATAAATTTCATTATATTTTAAACTTGTCATTATCAGAATTAGCATTGAAATAATAGAAGATAATATTTAACATTTTCGAATAATACACAAATGAAATGTTTAAGCCTTCTGATGGACGAGCCCTCGTGAAAATAACTCATAAAGTTAAATTCTTCGGTATTTCTTGATTGTTTAAAGGGATAAATATAATAAACAAATTTGCTTTGGTGTTTTCTCGTTCGTTTTGTACTACATCTTACTGACCAGGCATTGGGCGTCGATTTAATCAGAAACTACCAGGCACGATTTGAGTGATCAGGAAATGCTCCTTTCCAATTTTTTTTTATTTCAAAGGCTTATTATTAATTTAACTATGAACAGTTTTCCATCAAGGACAAAAGTTTTCTAGATTTATTAAAATAAAAAACAGATTGGAACTTATTTCATTTTGTATTTACACGATAAATAAAATATTCAGTGGTTTAGAGCTGATCAGGAGCCGAGTCTGCGAGAGAATACGCTTCTTCCCCGTCAATACCTTACGCGCGGTGCGATAAGGATATGTAAGCGCAGTTAAAAAAATCTTTTGAAACGATCGATGTATAATACATATGTACAAGTCAAGTGCACCTTGACCTTCGAGCATGCGAATGAGTAGTAGGTGTACACGTGATATCGCGCCGTTTGAGTGCGGTGTTAAGGATCTTTCGAGTCGGTAGATCTGATTCGACGCCGAAGACTCCTTCGGCGTTTAGCGCTTGCTTTCTGAAATAAAATATCTCGATATCACGGAGCCGAGACGTTGAACTCGGAGGCGTTTGTCCACTGAAAAAAATTTCTGGTTGAATATGGACGAATCAGATAATTCCTTTAGGATTTACCAGAATTCCTTTAGGATTTACCAGAATTTCTGTAGGATTACAGGAATTCTGGTAAATCCTAAAGGAATTATCTGATTCGTCCATATTCAACCAGAAATTTTTTTCAGTGTCGTATAATAAATTCGGGCCGCGCGGTGATTCAAGTGAAGCGATAAGCTAGATACCGCCCGTTTTATTCGATAATTGGGCAACTCCTCGTATTTGTCGCTATGCGGATACCACTCGCCTGGCCCATACTTTTGCCCGGCATTATTCATTATTGTGAACGTCGTCGTTTTCGGTCGCGTCCGCCATCCGTTTCCGTCCGTCAGCATCGCGCATTCGTGTACACGAACGTCTGCCTGAGCTTGAAATAGAGAATAAATGGCGACCCTCGTGTGCAATTTCCCTAATAAGAAAGACCGAGGTGATTGCTTAAGAATGGGCATTGTGACCTCGCACGCAAAGTCGCCCCGAAGCGATCCGGTAACTTGTTCTACTGCCGAATGAGAGCGTGGGTCGCTAAAAGCGCGAAGAAGCTAGTGTCAGGCATTTTTTTTTGCATACTCTTTATTAATTACTTTGTTCTCGTTCGAAAGTCCACGCATTGCAATTTTGTTGAATATAATGACACACGCGATTGACTGTGTACCTTGATCGGGAAGCACATTTCGATAACGTGACAGCACGATGCAAAGTCCGACGTACGATTCTGACAGATAAGAGGAATGGATCAGCTGGCGATGAATCATTAGTCGTCATTATTGTTGAAAGAAGACGCGCGCGTACCGGTTATTCATAGCACCTAAGTGCGCAAGATTGCCCCGTTACACTAAAAATGTGTTAATAAAGGAGGTAGATTTCTAGATGTCGCAACAAGTGTTTATCGCTGTTGTTTTGTATCTACTAGAGAATTGTTTGTCGACCGCAGAATATATAGCGGCAACATTCTAGTGATAGCTTCATTTGATTTGTTACTGACAATAGTGACAGTCATAAGTATAATAGCACTGAATAAATTATATAAGATTATTGTAATCCCTGAAAGAACAATTTATAATTGTAAGCCCTAACGTTATATTGCGGATTCAATTACTGAAAACATTTTTGCAACTGCAGCAACAATTTTCTAGGTGCAAAAAAAATCAAAAATAAAATATATAAATGAATTAGTTAATACTGAAACATCGCATATGTTTTGCGCTTAGTCAAATTGAATGACAAAAACAGAATTTATATCTGAATTGTTAAGGAAGAAGTATAGCACTGAATAATTTAGTGCAATTGTAACTGCGACTCGGTGAATATTCACCGTTTTCAGTGATAACCCACTGATTAACTTTTAGAGAGTGGATAACAATGAATTCCGGTAGCATAGCTGGAACATCTTTGTAAGGAATATAAGTGTTAAGGCATATAATTGTTGCTGTAGTTGCAGGATTTTTTTCAGTAACTGAATCTGCAATATAATGTTGGGGCTTACAATTATAAATTGTTCTTTCAGGGACTACAATAATTTTGTATAATTTATTCAGCATTATTCAGCAGATTCTGTCTTTGTTACTCATTGACACGCCAAAAAGGTTGTGTCGTCTTGTGTCACTAAATAAAAAGCATTTAATTGAGAACCTTATTGAGATAAAAAATAAGCTAATTTTTTATATAAGCTGAGTGACATATGTGTCTTTGTATCTTTGCGTTGTTTTTACGTTCGTATACCGTTGTTGAAATGGGTAAAACCTTCTGTTTCAGAGGACAAAACACTTCACTACAGTACCGATAGTGATTTTCTCATGATTTTCCTCCGGCCTTGCAAATTTTATCCGGAGAGCGCGCTGGAGCTAATGAGACGCGCCGCAGACTTCAAGGTGAAGCACGCGGCCCTGCTGCATAATTTAATGCCGAGCGACGAAAAGGAGGCCTTCACCGAGCACAATATTGTTAACGTACTGGTAAACAAAGATCATAAAAATCGCAGGGTATTGATAGTGAATGCCGGCAAACTCTGGAATCCATCCAAAGTCAACTGCGATCAGATGTTTCGGATGTTCTATTTGATACACGAATTGGCCATGCAGGAACCGGAGACGCAGGTACGAATGAAATATCTTAATTACGCGTATACTTTCCTGTCACGCAGGGACTAAATAATTAAGTTTAGATTAGTTTCAGATATAAATATGTTTCAATATTTAAAAAATGTGAGAGAAGAATTTAGTTTAAGTTAGTTAGATCTTTCTTAAACATTAAAAATAATTTTGTTAACTATCTAATTACAAGTATTTATATTTTTTTAGATATACGGCACGGTGGTAATAATGGATTTTGATGGGCTATCCATGAAACAAGTGACGGGATTGACGCCATCCTTCAGTATGAGACTCCTTAGTTTTATTCAAGACGCGATGCCACTGCGTTTAAAAGAGGTTCGTATTAATGGTATCAAATAAAATTGCATTACAAACTATTTTGAGAAAACAAGTTACCTATTTTTACGTCTTGCGTGTACTTGCAATCAATCTTGGATTAAATATTGACGAGAATATTTATTATCCTTGCTTTTTATTTGTGGCCGATATGCGATAGTTATCAGTTTATATTTTCGGAAGCCACTGTTGGTATATAATTATACATTTTTAATTATATAATATAAATATGTTACATATTCTAATTACACTTGAAATTTCCTCAGGTGCATTTTGTAAAGCAACCATTCCTGTTTAACATGGTGTGGCAAATGTTCAAACCGTTCGTCCGAGAGAAATTAAGGAAGCGCATGTTCTTCCATGGCTCCAAAATGTCTTCGCTTCACGCGCACATCCCACCGAGTCATCTGCCCAAAAATTACGAGGGTGAATTGGCAGAAATAGATTACGGCAGCGTCGATTGGTATCCAGTAATGGTGTCCAATGAAGACAAAATTAGAGGTATAAATTAAATCAATAAAGAAAAAAATACATACATATATCTTTATAACTATAAAGTCCATAAGCAGCTTTAAACTTTTATAATTTCATATAAATATAATAGAATTAAGCTACAATACAAAAATAGATTATTGAAAAAATTTATTATATGTATATCGGTATATAACAAGATATATATCGATATAGGATCCTGCAAATCTCCAAATACATTTTGCAGTTGATTGACTATAATATTTCGAATTACATTAATCCTTAAATTGTCCAAAGAGCAAAGTTTTGTTATATAAATGATAATTTTAACACGTTCTCGTATAGAGAGGTTTAATGAGTTCAAGTTTCGTGGACGCGATGGCCAAGAAATAGGTCCTCTTCTAAACCATTAGAAAAATTTACATAAGTAGATCTACATATAGCGCAGTCGTAGATTTATTTGCGAAATATATCCGAGCTGGATTTTAATATGTACTTTTGTTTCATAATTATAAATAATATATTCCTCATCAATACCTATTGTATGCAAAAAAGCTAAACTTCCGTAATTGAAGTTATAATATTTTTCACAGAATAAGTTTGTCACGTGTAGAATAGAAGTTATAAAACTGCATTACGCACACCTACACACACAACTAATATATATTTATCTGTTTATTTTACAGACTGGAACAGTTATGGACGTCGCAAGAATAACTAAATTAAATTTTCACGAGCTAGTTGTCGGTGTAGAAATTGCTAAATATATTTCTTTGCAACTCAAATGGATTCCAGACTATAGACAATCTAATGTAATAAGCAGGGTTGTGAAAGTTACTCAAAAACATTGACAAAACGTTCCTTAGCAATTATTTTCTTGTAATAAAAATAAAAATATCACATGTGCATTTGAATTGTAAAGTGTCGATAAAGGCGTTGATGCGCAAAAGCAAGGTCTAATGCGAACTGTGGAGGTTCAAAAAAATATACATATAAAGTAACTATTAATGTAACTATTAAATTAGCAAAATTGTAACTGAGGTAAGCTACAGTTACAGATAGAGAGAAAGTAACGAAGTTAAGTTAGAATTACCAAAAAAATGCAACTGTAACTGTAACTTCGGTACAAGTAACGTGTTACTTTCCAACTATGATAATAAGCATATGACTATTTAAAATGTAATAAAACACATGTACATATTTTATATATGACTCTTTTTAAACTCTTTGTAAACAAAATTATATTTTGTATTTATATGTATAGTTCTGTT